TTAGAATATATATCGATATGATTTTATTATCTTTCGAATTTATATAAATAGTAGTTTGTCATTTTGGTTTAATATTGTTTTAATGAATGTATATCCACGACTTCACCGTCACGTTTGCGTTATGTCCAATTTTTTCCACATTCATTGCGTATTATATGTGGTTTTTGGTTTGTCAAATAGCTACAAAATATACTCACTGCTTTTTTCCTCTGTTTCAAGAAGTTTTCGCGAGTTGAATTTCTAATGATATTTTTGGAAATTAAAAGAATGTTCTAAAGCTTACAATCCACGAGAAGAAAACCGAAAGAGAATGGACTTTTATTGCTCAAAGGTTCTTCTATTGACGCAGTGATGGATCTAAAAGACACTCGGATCCCATCATGGCGATTGATGAAATTGTGAAGAATGACTCATCTCTCCTTAATTACAAGACTGGTCGACTTTGAAACTTGTTAAGAATGTAGTATCAATCATTATGTTGTTAGATATATAAAGTCTAATCATCATAGTTGACTGTTAATAATTAATGATCATAAGCCAGGCTACATATATATTTCATTCAAATAAGCAGATCGATTCTCTTACAATAAGAAATCATACATTCGAACAAAAGTAAAAGGCACGCACTTAAATTTATGTGTGACGCCTCCACAAATGCTTCACGATACCCTCAGAATCCCCATTAGGCTCGACCCATCACATTCTGAAAAGGCAAGAGAATGAAGAAGATGACATATAATAATAACAGCCACGACCGTGTCGATCAAGTGCTTCAAGATTTTGTTTTTATTACCTTAACCATCTTCTCCATAACTTCATATAAACAGAATGAAGCATAACCTTAACACACAAAATTATACTAAGAAAAAAAAATTGATGACAAATTCAATAAAATATGTCTCTCTATAACTCTATCCATACCACAACCATATCCCACAGCCGCAAATGCGGTTGCAACTACGAACCGTGCGGGAATATCTTGAGTCTATGGACAACCGTTCCCATTAGCCGACGCGCAACGGTAGATCCAAGAATCTTCTCCAGCATGGTCGGGAATTAGGGTTAGGCTCCGTCTCTGATTTGTGTGATTTCTTTTCAAAAGTTGGTTCAGTTACAATATATGGGTCTTGTGTGACATAACCCGAGTTTTCGTTTTAATTTTTAAACAAGAAAAGAAAAGTCAGTAATTAAATAATGGTTCACTAATGGTTCACCATATTATCTAGGG